TCATGATAGTTTGCGTTATGTGAAACATATGATTTTTGTATTTTACCCTAAAATGTTTTTTTTTATACTATTAAGCGCTTTTCTTTTCTTTATGCTACACTTTAGTAGCAGTATGATCAATGGTTTTTTAAAAAAAAACTTAACGAATTTGAAAACAACGCACTTGTAGATTCAAACTAAGACAAACTCTTCCAGCAACACAACCTTTTCGTCACAATCTCATAATGATACATTTCTGTCTCCTCACTAAAATACGATTAAAAAACAGTCGTAGACTCTGTTTCCAACATTAACTGTGTTCACAGTAAGAAATGTCTGTTCATTTTTGACACACTGTTTCATCTCAATTAGACATCACCACTACTTTACTTTAAAACGGAAAGTCAGATGAAGTTTCCGAATCAATTACAAAGACACATTCGAGAGCTGAGACGACAAAAAGAAAAAACCAATACATCTGATGGTGTTTTGAGTCTAGCGCTCCGACTTTCAATTTCCACCAAGTATATTCCCATAAGAGCTACGCTTCATGAATCTCGTCATCACGTTTCAAATCACAATCCTTTACATAAAAACAAGAACTATATACTACATAAAAGCTAAGTACTATTCTTGACTCTGGTCACCAAAGATAACATGACAATGATTTACATTTCAATGAGAACGATAGTCTATTTTGAATCTAAGTAGTATTCTTGGATCTGGTCACCAGAAAATGACACCACAATCCTTTACATTACAATAAGAACTACATCGTACTTTCAATCTACGTACTATTCGTGATTAACGTCACGAGATATAATATCAAAATCATTTCCATTAGAATAAGATCTACCTGCTATTTTGCATGTAAATATTACTCTACAATGTGGCCACCAGATATGACAACATAATGGTTTACGTTAGAATAAGACTTATATGCTATTTTGAATCTAAGTTCTATCCGTGAATCTGCGAACCAGATATCATATCATACTCATTCAAACTACAACAAGAACTATATTCTATTTTGAATCTACATTCTATCCTTGAATCTGGTGACCAGATAAGATATGACACTGATTTACATAAAAACAAAACTATATGCTATTTTGTATCTACATACTAATCTTCAATCTAGTCATCAAATACGACATGACAATGATTTACATAAAAATAAGAACTATCCGCTATCTTCTATGTAGCTACTATTCTGGAATCTGGTCACCAGATATGCTATTACAATGATTTATATTCGAACGACAACTATATCGTACTTTGAATCTAGATGGTATTCCTGAATGTGGGGACCAGATCTAGTATCACAATGATTTACATTAGACTAAGACATGTGTGCTATTTTAAATCTACGTTCTATTCTTGAATCTGGTCACCAAAGATAACATGACAACGCTTTACATAAAAAAAAACAACTATATCCTATTTTGTTTCTAGCTACTATTCTTGAATCTGGTGGCCAGATATGATAGGACAATGACTTACATTAAAATAAGAAGTATATGCTATTTTGTATCTGCCTACTATTCTTGCATCTGGTCACCAGACCTAATATCACAATGATTTACATTAGATTAAGACCTGTGTGCTGTTTAAGATCTACGTTCTATTCTTGAATCTGGTCGCCAAAGATGACATGAAAATGTTTTACATTAAAACAAGAACTATACTTTATTTTGTATCTAGCTACTTTTCTTGAATCTGGTGACCAGATATTATATAACAATCACTTACATTAAAATAAACAGTGTATGCTTTTTTGTATCAACCTACTATTCTTGCATCTGGTCACCAAATATGAAATCACTATGATTTACATTGGAATAAGAACTATTTTCTATTTTAAATCTAGATAGTTTTTTGAATCTGGTCAGAAGATATGCTATCACAATGACTTATATTAGAATGACAACTATATCCTATTTTGAATCTACGTACTATTTGTGAATGTGGTCACCAGATCTAATATCAAAATGATTTACATTACATTAAGACCTGTGTGCTATTTTAGATCTACGTTCTATTCTTGAATTTGGTCACTAAAGATGACATGAAAATGTTTTACATTAAAACAATAACTATACTCTAATTTGTATCTAGCTACTATTCTTGAATCTGGTGACCAGATATTATATAACAATCACTTACATTAAAATAAAAGGTATATGCTACTTTGTATCTAGCTACTATTCTTGCATCTGGTCACCAGATATGCTATCACAATGATTTACATTAGATTAAGACCTGTGTGCTATTTTAAATCTACGTTCTATTCTTGAATCTGGTCACCAAAGATAACATGACAACGCTTTACATAAAAAAAAGAACTATATGCTATTTTGTTTCTAGCTATTATTGTTGAATCTGGTGACCAGATATGGTATGACAATGACTTACATGAAAATAAGAAGTATATGCTATTTTGTATCTGCCTACTGTTCTTGCATCTGGTGACCAAATATGATATCACAATGATTTACATTGGAATAAGAACTATTTTCTATTTTGAATCTAGATAGTTTTCTTGAATCTGGTCAGAAGATATGCTATCGCAATGATCTATATTAGAAAAAGATTTATATCCAATTGTGAATCTAGTTACTTTTCTTGAATCTGGTGACCAGATATGATATAACAATCACTTACATTAAAATAAAAAGTATATCCTATTTTGTATCTAGCTACTATGCTTGAATCTGGTGACCAGATATTATATAAGAATCACTTACAATAAAATAAAAGGTATATGCTATTTTGTATCTAGCTACTATTCTTGCATCTGGTCACCAGATATGCTATCACAATGATTTATATTAGAAAAAGACCTGTGTGGTATTTGAAATCTACATTCTATTCTTGAATCTGGTCACCAAAGATAACATGACAACGCATTACATAAAAAAAAGAACCATATCCTATTTTGTTTCTAGTTATTATTGTTGAATCTGGTGACCAGATATGACATGATAATGAGTTACATTAAAATAAGAAGTATATGCTATTTTGTATCTGCCGACTGTTCTTGCATCTGGTCACCAAATATGATATCACAATGATTTACATTGGAATAAGAACTATTTTCTATTTTGAATCTAGATAGTTTTCTTGAATCTGGTCGGAAGATATGCTATCACAATGACTTATATTAGAATGACAACTATATCCTATTTTGAATCTACGTACTATTCGTGAATGTGGTCACCAGACCTAATATCACAATGATTTACATTAGATTAAGACCTGTGTGCTGTTTAAGATCTACCTTCTATTCTTGAATCTGGTCACCAAAGATGACATGAAAATGTTTTACACTAAAACAAGAACTATACTTTATTTTGTATCTAGCTACTTTTCTTGAATCTGGTGACCAGATATTATATAACAATCACTTACATTAAAATAAACAGTGTATGCTTTTTTGTATCTAGCTACTATTCTTGCATCTGGTCATTAGATATTATATCAGAATGATTTACATTACAATAAGAATTGTATGCTATTTTCAATCTAGCTACTATTCTTGAATCTGGTCACCAGATATGCTATCACAATGATTTACATTAGGATAAGACGTGTGCACTATTTCGAATATAAGTACTATCCGTGAATCTGGTCACCGGATATGACATCGTCACCCATTACATTAGAATAGCAGATGTTCAGTTAATCACAATATGAGACATGTATGGAGACTAGTACGGGTAAAGAGATGTCGGATGCTCGTATTTATGTTGTATCCTATATTTAAAAAAGTCGGCAAGTTGAAAAGTTTGAAATTAATAGTCTCTATCTGGCCACCAGGATTGACCATAATTGTTTTTGTCGTGCTCAGATGGGGACGATGCTAAGGGACAAATTCGTGAATCAGAATTTTCATTGCAAACGATGGACATTCGTGGAAATGTTGTGCTATGGAAACCAAGAGTTTATCAAAGATTTTTTGTCATTAAATCTACTCTGGTCGCCAGAACTGCATTTTAATCATTATTTCTATTAGCTTTTTCATAAGCTTAAATTTCTTTTTTTTTCTGTTCTTTACACATTAGGCAAATCGAAAATAGAAAACGATGTGTTGTCAGTGTGCAGTCTATGAAAATAAACACATTTTGGAGAAACACGTGTTTCAAACAAATCACACTCTCAAGTTGAAACTAAAACCACAACACAAAGTTTATTTCAGTTCAAATAAAAGTGTAGTCTGCTCTATGGATTAAATATGAATAATTCGTGTTGATGACCAGAAAATGATCTCTTGTGACTATTCTGTTTCGACGACGCAAAACAAAAACATTATTTAGTAGATAATAGTCCAATAAATAGAAAGATAGTTAGACGACCGCGTAGAGCGTATAAATACTTGAAAAATAAACTTTTTAGCCATATACATTTCTAACATTATCAACTTCTTGTACAATGTTTTCTTTGCATATTTCTCCTGATGATGACAGTTAGTTGTTTCAGTATTACTGCGTAAGTTTATAGTTTTCCAAAACTTTTTCTCTTTCGAATGTCTTGTAGTCAATTTAACTTGCACAAGAGTCATAAGTTGCTTATATGAATACGAAATATTCGTAGTGGTGATACTGTTTTGCGATATTACAGTGTAGACACAGACTATTTTTTGAAAGCAAACCTTATTATATAACTCTATGCCCTCTTGAGAACAAATATCACTCAACAAGGTGTATTTGTATATCTCCCTTGAATTTCATCTACTGTAATCCTCATGAAATCATCTGTTCATAGCTTCATTTTTTAATTTTGAGAATCTCAAAGAACGGGAAAACATGTCACCCTCAATTAATTTTTTTCAGATTCATTATTTTCGATTTTTCTAATAGCTTTCAATAATTGTCATTGTAACTATAAATTTGAAATTCAACAGCATCGAAACAAACGACAATGGTATCGAATATTAATAAAACTAGATTACCATTAGCATTGAAACCGTCAAACAGCACCACGTTATTATCTTCATTAGATTCAGATGAAACGTTACCACCAACAACACCAAATACTGATATAAATCCAACACCATCTTCAGCTATTCAATCTTCATCATCATCAGATGTTCAATCTTCATCATCAACTTTATCAAGACAAAAGAAATCGGGTTCCATCGCAACCATCTCAGCAGAACAACAAATGGTAACGAAAAAGACAAAGTCCAAATCCAAGGCGATAATCATCAAATCAAATAATGATCAAGAAAGCACCGATGATTGTACTGATATAGAAGTAGAATACGACCTTGCAACTTGTATCCAAGAAAGCGGTGGAATTGACCAATTTTTACAAACACCGTGTTTAACTTTATATAAGAAAAAATTCACCAGCCAAGGTTAGTAGATAATCTATCATATTTTCCATAACTCAACTTCTACGGATTAGATTAATCGCAGCAAATTCACTTCCATAACTTTTATTTCTGGTGACCAAAACAGTAACCCTTTATTCTGCTTCGTCATGATAGTAGTTACTCCCAGTCTCTTCTATCGGTGTTCGTTTTCGTATTTCATTTCTGGTGACCAGAAAATATAGTTATGTTTCTTTTCTTGATCAGCTACATATCTTCAAATACGTTTTAATGATCTTCACCTGTCTAGTTATTATATTTCTGATCACCAGAAAATATAGTTATATTTCTTTTCTTGACCAGTTACATATCTTCAAATACGTTTTAATGATCTTCATCTGTCTAGTTATTATATTTCTGATCACCAGAAAATATAGTTATATTTCTTTTCTTGACCAGTTACATATCTTCAAATACGTTTTAATGATCTTCATCTGTCTAGTTATTATATTTCTGATC